CAATATTTAGTATCTTCATATACTATCTATTGTTGCCTCTGACTTAAAATCCCAAATCACTCTGTATTTTGTTAAGTCTTGTGTAGACTTTTGGATAGAACCTGTCAGTTATAGTCGTCATACTATAGTTGAACAGCTTCTAATATCACTATAGTTAAAGGAAAAACTACAGGTTAGCAATGTGAATGCAAATATGAATGCAATAACTGATGTGTAGGTTTTTTTTTTAAGTTTTATACAAGTATTTTTAGATTTATGATTAAATCTTTTTATTTAATAAAGATATAATTGTATAAATGTAGGCACAAATATAAGTATGAATATAGATACAACTGCAGATGTAAATGCAATAACTAATATATAAGTTTTTTTTTCTTTGAGTTTTATACAAGTATTTTTAGATTTATAATTAGAGAATTAATTATATAAATCTTTTTATTTAATAAAGACATATTTATATGAATGTAAATATGAATGTAGATGTAAATATGGATGCAAATGTAAATGTGAATGCAGTAACTAATGTGTAGGTTTTTTTTTCTTTTAGTTTTATATAAGTATTTATAGATTTATAATTAGAGAATTAACTATATAAACTTTTTTTATTTAATAAAGATATAATTATGTGAATGTGAATGCAAATGTAAGTATGAATATGGATGCAAATGCAAAAGTAAATATGAATATGAATGCAAATGCAGCAACTAATGCATAAGTTTTTTTAGAAGTTTTATATAAGTACTTTTAGATTTGTAATTAAGAATAGCCTATATAATATTTTTTTATTTAATAAAAACATAATCTGGGGTTCTTTAATATATTTCTTAAAACAATTAAAGATAATTATAAACATTGTTAATTACAACTTCAAGCAACCCTTAAGAAATTGGCCAAGAGATACAATGCAGCAAAATCCAAGTCAATCCTAATATTAATATTATTTTTTCATAACATAAATCATAATTCAGACCCACTTGAGCATGTAAGAAGTGATGCTAAAATTTATATGCAAGTTGAATTAATTAAGTATAGAAAAACTGAATCAAGTGTAAAAAAATCTGGAGACAAAGAAAATCATGATTATGATCCTTATGTTATTCAAGCATGCAAAGCTAGAATAATTAGTAAAAAAAAGCACAATCTTAGTCAAAATATTAACAAAAATAATTTGAATTGATAATATGTTTATGAATATATTATTTTTTTTAGTGTTTAAAGTATTAAATGAAATTTTTTATAAAGTTAGTCATTTTATATAATTTAAGATAGATGCAATTTGCTAATTAATTTTAGATCAAGATGAATATATAAATTACATATATATTGATTTTAAAGACTAAATTTATATTTAAACATTACAATAATATTTATAAGTAGTGTATTTTGTATAGCAACAATAAAATTTTAAAGGAACATAAAGTTTATTCTTTAATTTTTATAGTAGATGTGGATTTTAATATTTTATTATATAGATAATATGAATTTTTTGGTTCTATTATATAGTTCTGATATTCAAAATTCTGATTAGACAAAATTAACTAGAACTACTGCTAACACTAACCTAATGTAGATTAAATTGGCAGAATTTTGATCTTGTTAATATTTTGGATATCAGGATTTTTTGATAGAATCAAATTTTTTGTATGTTTTAATAAATGTATCTAATAATAATTCTTTTTAAAATTTTAAAATAATTAAATTTGAGCCTTTTCAATTTGTAACTATAGTGATAATAATTTTATAACATGCATTTCGAGTTGTACTACTAGTATTTTGATCAATTATAAAACTATACAAACTATATATTTATTATTATTAGATTAAATACTTGTAATTACTAAATTTTTATTAGTAGTTATAACCTGTTATCTGTAAATATAATAAGAGTACATTACATGTTACAAAATTACTATAATTACAAATTAAAAAGGATCTTTATTTTTTATATGTATTGTTAACTTGTAATTTTTTCTTTAATTACAATGATATCAGAAACTGTTCAACTATAGTATGATAACTATAACTTGACAGGTTCTATACAAAAGTCTACACAAGACTTAACAAAATACTAAGTGATTTGGGATTTTAAGGCAAAGGCAACAATAGATAGTATATAAAGATACTAAATATTGCATTCAGTTTATTAACTA